GGATTGGTCTGAAAAAGAACCAAATAACTCTGGCCTAAAAATAAAGGAAAAATAAGTAAACAATCAAAGTTGCTATATCTTACACATATTGTGTGTTCACCAACAAAAGTAGTTCTAGACTAGTTTTCTTTAAAAGTTAGCCACACTTGGTTCACCTCAAAACTAGTACACGTAAAAACTAGTTTAGCCAAATCAAGCCTATGTGAAACCAGATCAAAATTAAACTTGGTTAGTTTCTAAGTTGTCAAACACACCCTAAGTGCATCATCATGTTGGAGCTTAGATTTCGGTCAAAATCCCTTACACGCTCAAATTAGCGCTCGCAGATAATAATAGCGGTAATATAAATATTTGGGGAATAGAAGGAGGTCCAAGTTCTCGTGTCTCAAGTGGGAATGTTTGGGGTTCCACTAGGAGGAGCCTTTTATATTGGATAGGAAAAGGATTGAGCATCATCTGATATTACTCGGTTTTATGCATGTGGTTAAATACTATGATTAAGTATTTTTGATTTATTTTCTTATTAAAAATTGTTCCTCGATTCTACTTTGATGAGTTTTGTTTAGTTATGTCTCTAAACTTTAGCATTGTGATTATTTATTTTCATTGATATTCATTTAAATGAGCTACACCCAATTTAAATTTTCATGTTTATAGAATTGACAGGAAACAGATGTAATCCGAAGCCAATTTGAATTATCATGTTATTTAGATCGACATGAAACCAAGCATGACCTGAGAAAGTATGATGTTGCAAATGTGGAAAACACTTAAAAATAGCGTTATAAAAGAAGGATGAATATTAAAGCTAATAAGACAAGATGACTGATTAAAAGTGGGCTAAAATGACACAAAAGAAAACATGGAGTTTGTTCTTAATTCTTGATAGACTTTAAAAAATTCATAAACTTTAATGTTAACTATAGCACATTTTTTTATGATGAAAGCACCCACATAAGGATATAAAAGTACTAAAAAAGTTTATGAAAATCTCTTCTAAATATTCATTCCTTTTGCTTCATTTTTTATTGAGCTAACATCAATCTTTCCACCTTCATCTTTTTCGATAATATTAGACTACTTTTAGATGCTGAAAAGAGATAGTAAACCTTAAATTGGAAGTTAAATTTATATATATTAATGAAAGAATATCAAAAACCATTCTTTTCTTTGCTATTAAAAATTTAGTCATTTTTTGTGATTTTGAATTTATGAGGATGCGTTTTGCAAATTTTGAGAGTGTTTTTTAAAAATTTAAAATTTAAATTGGATGTTTGTAATTTCTATGTTTTATATGTTGGTGGTAAAATTTTAAATGCCATAATATCTCTTGCAACTCTGAAGTTTTGAGGGTGTTGTTGCAATTATTAAAACTTTAGATTATATTTTTGTAAAAATTTAAATTTTCAGCGGTCTGCTGATAATTTTTAGATTTAATTTGTACTAGTTATAAGTTTTGAAATCTTAAGTTTTTTGTGATTTTTAACTTTTAAAGAAGTTTTTTGCTATTTTTATAACTTTGAGGTTATTTTTTAGAAATTTTAAATTTTGAGGTGCTTGATGGTAATCTATTGAGTTTATCTTTGGTATTTGCAAGTTTTAAAACTTCAGAATGTTTTGTGTCATTTAAAATTATTATTTAAACTTTTAAGGGTGATTGTACAATTTTTAAAATGTTGGGGTGTTAATTGCGAACTTTAAATTCTTCGAATGCTAGTGTTAATTTTTAGATTTCATGTTTATTATTTTAAGTTTTAAAATGTCAAAATATTTTGTGTAATTTTAAAACTTGAGGGTGCTTTATGTAATTTTTGAAACTGTTTGGGTTTTTTAATATTTTATATATTATAGTATGTTATTTCTTTACCTTAACAAACTAGTATGTTAGTTCTTTACCTTAACATACTAATACCATGGAGCTGCTTTATGCATTTTATTAATCTTATTTTTTTAAATTGTTGAGTAGTAGGTAGTTCATATGGGATTAGGATAGGATATAATTATGATGAGCATAGATTAAGATTTAAATAGAATATTCAAAATAATAAAGGATAATATTGACCATGAAAAGTTTTTCCCAAACTCATATTTTAAAGTGAGTATGACTAGTTAGAAGGGGCACGTGCAATGCACGTGCCAAATTTGGTTAGGGGTTTATGCAAACAAATGTCATATTTTATATATGCAGAAATTAGAATAATAAAGACTATATTTATAAAATTAAGTCTTATGTGTAACTTTTAGAGTAATGGTCAATATAAATGGAGACAATAGTTAATATTCCTAAAAGTTATTTTAAATGTAGTCAATATCCAAAGTGTTCTAAAATTTTGAAATTACTACATTTATAATAAACTTAGGTTAAGGTAAATTGTATACAAATCCCTCATCTATACCTTCAGTCTACTTAATCTCCTAAGTTATTTATTAGCACATAGCTTTCTTCCTTTAGGTACTGTTTGGCAAAGGGTTAAGTGAGGGGTTAAGGAGAATTAACCCCTTCTTAACCTGCCAAACACAAAAAATCTATACAATGGTTAAAGTAAATTAACCCTCCATAAATTGTCAAACATAAAAAATATAGAAGGGTTAAGCTAACCCCTCTAGAGGGATTAAAATGAGTTAATCCCTCAAAATGATGGGTTTACTAATACTCCTATTTAGAAGGATTAAGAGTTAACTCTTCTAAATATAAAGAAAATAGTCAAAATCATTGTTATTCCCAAACACTAAAATTGATCACAATGGCTAAAATAAAACTTATTTATCATGTTAATAATTTACTCATCAAATTATCGAATGAGCTAAGTACATTAATTCTTCTCTTTAACCCATCTTCCTTAACCCTTTGCCAAACAGAGGGGATAAGTACTAATGAATGAGCTAATTAAAGGCATATATATAAGGAAGTTATGTGTTACCCTTTAGTTTATTATATATTTGAAATTTTTTTTCTATGGTTTCTAAAGTTATATATTTTGTTTCAAATCATATCAAATCTTTGAAGATAAGTTGTATATAAGCATCTCATCGATAATCAATTCCACTAACTTCCAACTTCCATAACTTCATTGATTGTAATACATGTCAGAGGAACCTTGATCCACTAATGAGGTCTTCTTATGTGGATTTACTTGCTCACAGAGTAAATTCTATGACTACCTCAGCCAATAGGATAGTGACACACGTACCGCCTTATTTGCTTAGACAATTGGCATAAATATCACCCCCTACCTTAGGTAAAGGTACCTCATATATTGTACCTCCACTCGTACCACCAAACTTGCTTAATGAATCATATTCTCTAAAACCACTTTTTTATCTTTGATACCTCAAAGTTTTTTTTAACACTTTAATACCACAAAAATTATAAATATTTTGACTTTGATACCATAAAGATTTACATTTTTTTTACAGTGGTATCTTAAAGTCTACATAAGTTAGCTTTGATCCTCTAACCGAAGTTTGGGGTATCAAAATGTCCAAAGCAAACCTTTTCAAAGTGTTAAAAAAATTATAGTGAATTATTGTAGATTTGAAGGAGTAATATGGAATATTGTAAATTGGCTATCAAAGTTTAAAGAACTATGGGATATTAAAGTGAAATAAGGCGTTTTGGTCATTGAGGGATTAATGAACAATTTCAAAGATTTAGGGGATTAATATGGAGTTATTGTAGATTAAGGGACTAATATGAAATTATTCTAGATTTAAGGGACTAATGTGTAATATCCATTTTTATTTGAGGCTAAACATGTAAACATGTGAAGCTGAGTTTAAGTGGGGCGAAAAAAAAAGAGAGAAAAAAAGCAATGACAAGGTTTCAAATACGTGGCCCACGTGGGTACTTGCGGACTGAGCTAAAGTGGTCCTCAAGGTATCGTCTACAATTGTTTACTATGACTACTATTCTAAACCCCTATTTTTTTTAAAATCATATTTATTCTTCTATACTTAAAAAAGATTCAAATTTTAATACATTTAGTTTAGAAATCATATTTATTCTTCTAAAATTAAAAAATAATCTAAATTTTAATATATTTAATTTGTTTTACTGTTTATAATACAATAAAATACTGTAACATAAATAGTACAGACAGTAAATTACTATAGTCCTTACGCGTAACGTGAACAACAACTCTTTGGATTCTCCATTTAAGTATAGAGGAGGAGAAGTGTTCAACGAATAAGCAGACATATCTCATACTCTTTATATAGAGAGTGATTTTCCTACCTGCACCAACAAAATAAAGTTTCAACTCCTCAATTGCTACGAAATTTGATCAAAACATCGATAACTTCTATTTACCATACACGCGCCTATACACATCATTAGTAGGCTGATACAAAAATTATGAGCTAATGAATGGGACAATAAAAAAACATTTTTTTTAATAACCCAGCTCGGAAGTGAACCCAGGAGCATGGGGTCATATCAAAACCTCACAACGTTCTCGGTGACCTGCGGTGGGCCAAGACAAACAATATTAACTCGCAAGGACATTTGAATGATTCACCCAGCCAAAAGCATATGTCAGCATCATGAATTGATTAGAAATCCGTAAAACAGTTCAAGAATTACCACGAAAGCAAAAGCTAACATCACGCAGAAATCCTTAAAAAAAAAAAAAAAGCACGAGGCACACCTTGGGCACGCTCTCAATCACATCCCTCACCTACTACAGTACAGGGAGCTCCACATGAGATTTTTTTAAAAAATCTCATGTGAAACTCCTATACTGTAGCTAGTGAGAGGGTGTGGTTAAGAATATGTCCAAGAGTGTGCCTCTAGTGGTTTTCTTAAAAAAATCCAAAGACAATTTCTAGCGTACGAATTTGTTCATGTTTTTTTTTTGGGTCTAGAAGCTCGTCAGTCGTCATTGTGTGTTCGGAATTGCTTTTGCTATTAACGTATCGTACCAACATCAACATTTGGATAGCTGGATTACACCAAAATCAATATCCACATCAAAATCTGACACATAGAACACCACCATCAATTTCATTGTCCCCACCTTTTCGTCTAATTTATCCAATTCCACATGCATTTGTCACACAAAAATTTTCTTCTATGCGGTAACTAGAAAACTATATTGCACAAACAATTACAACATTTACGAATTACAGCCGTGGATATTAGTAACTTCTCACCTCAATAATATACCAACTTGGGTAAATTGCAAAGAACCCGCTCAACTATATCTTTAGCCAATTATCACTCCTCAGCTATTTTATTTCTCTAGAAGCATCGATATAAGGGCGTTATATACTAATATAAAATAGCTGAGTAGCAATTAAGTGCTAATGAAAATATGGACGAGGGGGGTTCTCTGCAACTTACCCACTTTATTTTGAAATCAATCTACCAATCATCAGCAACAACAGGGTGCAATGAAACCCCAGAGCAGAAAGCAATCACCTTGTGAAATCTATTCACAGGTCCCGGCAATGGTGGCACTTTCCTCCATTTGCAAACAGAATCATCTCCAATCTCACAGACACAAGCTGGGTAACCTCTATGGTGATCCTCGTTGAACACGTAAATCAACCCACCGAGCCCTACACACTTCAAGCTCGCAAATTTCGCATCATCATCTTCACTTTCGAACAAACAAACCATTAAATCTCTTGGCATCTCGCCAATTCTTTTGTAAGCGAAGCTCTTATAGTTGACGTCCCAGAGAACGAGATTCGCATTGCAAAGCCCTGAGGGTAGGAGGCGAAACAAGCCAAATAATTAGGAGATAGCTCGTTAGCTGTAGGGTTAATTACAGAAAACCCTCATGAACTTTTGGGGTGTTGCAATAAAAGCCCATCAACTTTTTCTAATAGAGTAAGCTCCTTGAACTTTAGGAGTTACTGCACATGATCCCTTCCCAAGGGAACTGTTTTATTTCACTAGATTTTACCTTAAAATTTATCTTTGGATCCCCATATTAGTATCATCAACTCTAACGTGTCACTAGTACGCACAAGACAAAAAAAGAAGATGAAAAATTCCTCCTCGGTCCCTAAAAAGTATATATTTATTAAAGAGGAAAAATAGGTCATTTTTTGGGATTAAGGAATTACTTTTATCTTTTTTCTGGCATATGCTTGCCACATGAGATTTTAGACTCAATGGTGCTAATTTAAAAATTAAATGAGAAATTTCCATGTGAAATTTAGTGAAATAAAATAGTTCATGGAGGTTATGGGCAACAACTCCTAAAGTTCATGAGGTTTAGTGTAACTTAAAAAGTTGGTGCGATGTTATTGCAACTCCCCAAAAAATCACGGAGTGTTTTCTGTAATCAACCCTTAATTGTATGTCTTAACTGTTCAATTATACTTAGTTCGCTAATTCATTCAGCATGAAAGAAATAACTTTAGTATCCGGTTTATAAACAAATAGAATCTAACCAAAGACATCCATTTCATTTGCTTATTAATTATTTGTTTGAAATCTGATTTCTTATGAATTATTATTATGCAAATGATATTATGTTTTTGGCCCGCTAACATTTTTTATTTTGATTCCTATAAAAATTTGGGCGACGTAGTCCGGAATCAGTTTTTGAACCAAGTATTCAAATTACAAATATATATATGAAAATAATACTCAACTATGAAGTTAAATGCTATTCACAAATCAAACTTTTACAAAATAAAAAAGTGTTTCTTTAACTAAATAGAAGTATATTCTTAATTAAACATACATTAACATCCCAATATTCATGACTAAATTTAGAATCGAATTTGAACAAGCTCAAAGAAGGATATTCGAATTCGGATCCAGAATCAAAGGTTTTAAACGAATATCTCCACGTCCCCGCAATTGCACCAAATCTCAGTGAGGGCTAACTGGCAAAGGTTATAATCTTATATTTTAATATGTCCTAGGCTCCTAGCAAGTTAAGAATCCTTTTAAGGTTTCAATGTCAAAAACCTGAACTCACGTAGCGGAATCAATTTTTTAAAATCAACTTAGAAAATCGTAGCAAGCGAAATTTAAACCTGGATTACTTTGGCACCGTGTCAAAGTCCCAGCCGCTGCGCCGAAACTCTACAGTTGTGACTAGAGCTTAGAGCTATACTTTCATATTCTAACAAAATACAAACACGAAAATCTCATTATTGGATTCGATACAATTCGTTTCGAGCCCTACCTGCAAGCACCAGTCGATCTCTGCGGGCGATTAAGAAGGAGAACGAAACCCCAGGCGGCCGAACAATTTCAACTCTGCTCCAAGATCTCGTTCTCAGATCAAACGCCGATAAAATACTTGAAAAGATCCCAAACACGAAGAACAGCGAATCCTCCATCATCGCAGAGCAAATCCATTGCGACGAATTCCCCGACCTAAACTCGGCCGGCAAAGGCGGCCCCAGCTCCCAAGTATCCATCGCCGGATCATAAATCTCAACAAGCGAGCCGTATCCTCGATGTCGACGAGCATGCCGCATGAATCGGGCCCGCGCGACAACGACGATCGATTTCAGTTCTCTTGGAACCCCAATTAGAGGCGTTCAAATCTCGAGAAATTGCAACGCGCGGGTTCCTCCAGGTTGGGGCCCCGCTGAGGACAGGGAGTACAGAGAACCGGGGCGGCGCCGCGCCGGCGAAGAGTAGCCGCCGGCGCCGGCGAACAGCAGTGGTCGTTTGAGAGGAGAGTTTGGTAATTTGATCAGAAATTTGAGTCGGGTCGAAGGCGAAGGCCTTGGTTTTGTTTTGAGGAAGACGTTGTTTTGGCGAAGCAGGAAGAACCAAGGCTTTTGGTTTTCGAGGGTTAGGCTCTTCTCGGAAGCGGCGCCAGTGGCGGCAGACGGCGGCAGGCGGAGGCGCCGAGCGCGAGGAAGGAGCGGGAGAGGATTGGACGCGGCGAGGTCTTCGGGGAGGTGGGCCCAGGGGGACGCTGACGCGGCGCCTAGATCCATTGTCAGAGCTAGGGCTTGAGAGAATTGGGGGAGACCTCAAAGGGTATTTATGGGGATTTCGGGGGGGATCGGGTGTTTGATAGACGGATTGCCTTCGGTGGAAGGGGGTTGAGAGGGTGACACGTGGGCTTTGAGGATCGGGAGTGGGATTTGATTGGCGCCGGGAAATGGAGGTGGAGTTTGGGATGGAGAGCGGTTGTGTGCTTCAGGAAGATACGGAAGTTGTGGCTGTCGCCGACGGACGGAGGAGAGCGTCAAATTTATTTATTTTTTTTAATTTCAAAAATTAATGAATGCATTAAAGTTTGTAGTTGTCCTTATTTTTCTTTTGGATAAGGTTTACTTACACTTGTGCATAAAATATCTAGCATTTAAAACTAATATGAGATGAAAAAATCTTTATTTATACTCTAAGAAATTACTAAAGCGATTACTATTTCAATCTCTCAATCTCAATTGCTTAGCAGCAGCACTCGTAGAGATGGGGAAAAGAAAAATAGACAAGGATTTGATGAGTGCTAAGATCTTAAAATGAATCACGGATATCTATTCTTTTATACAAAAGGGAGAAATAAAGAGCCACTGTTCATGCTACAGTAAATGCTACAGTAGATTTACTGTAGCAGTATTACTGTAGCAGCTAAGAAATTTAAAATGCACTGTAGCAGATCGGTTACCGTAGCAGCTCGGGAATGACACTGTAGCAGGCGAGTTACTGTAGCACCTCAGAAAATTCAAACCGGGAGAGTTTAAAAACGGCGGGAACACTGACTGTAGCAGCTCGGGAATGGCACTGTAGCAGGCGAGTTACTGTAGCACCCCAGAAAATTCAAACCGGGAAAGTTTAAAAACGGCGGGAACACTGTAGCAAAAAAAAAAAAAAAACACCGTGCTGCGCACGGGCTGCACACTAGTTTACTAAATAGTAGACAACTGAGATCATAAGTTGTTGGCTTGTTGCACATGCATATTATTTTTTAGACGCTTCTACTGGGACCCAAGTAAAAGACCCAAGTTGGGGTGGGGGCTCGTATGTCTCCATTTTTGGGTCCCGGGGCATTAATCTTATTTTTATCTATTGTTTAAGGATCCACAAAAGTGCACTGAAACTCATTACTATCTTTCCCAACCTTTGCTACTCTGGACAAATTTTTAAAACCAACCCGTTTCAAGTTTTAATTGCAAAAAACGACCTGTTTTTAATTTATTTAGAAAAACCGACCTCGTTTCAGCACTGTCGCTGAAACCAGGTCGGTTTTTCTAAAAAAATTTTACGAAACTTCACGGGAGTTTAACTCCCGTGAAGTTTAGTGCTCTTTTAAACTTCACGGAAGTTGAACTCCCGTGAAGATTATTTTCCTTAATAAACTCCACGGGAGTTCAACTCCCGTGGAGTTGCAGGCTAAAATCCCCAGCGACTAACTCGCTGGGAAATTAGCCTGCAGCTTCACGGGAGTTGAAATCCCGTGAAGCTGCGGCCTATATATTCGGACGTGACAGACCCCTCCCTATCTCAGTTCTCTCTCCCCGCAACCGCCCCCAAACCCTAAGTTCTCTCTTGTCCCAACCGTCGCCGTCCACGTGAGTTCCGATCGCAGCCCCCCAAATCCGACCGCCGGAACCCTAATCCAACTGCCGGAACCCCTTTCCGACCGCCGGCACCTCATTCCGACCGCCGGAACCGTCGTCGTCGCCGGATTTCGACAAATTGAGGGTAAATTCTTCCCAAAAGTAGATTTTCTCTTAATTTCTTGTATTTTCTCGTTATTTAATGGTGATTACATGTAAAAAATTATATTTTAGAATTTAATTGTGAATTTTTTATGAATTGTGTGAAGAAAACTTAAATAATTTTGTCGATTTAGAGGGTAAATTATCAATAATGTAAAAAATAGTGTTACTACATATGTATGACATCTAATTGATTTTTAAAAAATAGTGTTATCAATAATTTTGATTTTAGAATTTCATTGTGAATAAGTTGTGAAATTATAAAAAATCTAAAAATTAGTGTTATATGACATCAATTAGATTTGAGAATTTAATTGTGAATTTTATGAATTATGTGAAGAAAACTTAAATTATTTTGTCGATTTAGAGGGTAAATTATCAATAATGTAAAAAATAGTGTTACTACATATGTATGACATCGGTATATGAATCGGTATATGAATTTGGAAAAAATTATGGTTCCCTAAAATTGATATAGGATTTAATTGTAAGTAACAATAAATTTTTAAAGTCTTTTCGTGTAATATTGATCTTAAATATTTTACTCTTCAGAGGTAATGATGAACGATCGAATCGTAATTTTGTGTTCGTATGATGGGAAGATTAAATACCTCGAAAATAATATGCTCGTTTATGAAGGAGGTACGACGAGACCATTGTTTATAATAAAATCGTGTACTTTCGATGAGTTGGTTAATGAATTGCACAAACTTACATTAACCAACTCACGTGAGTATCACCTTAATGTTATTTGTAATTATCCTGTTGTGGAGAACAGGACAAGCAGCATTCAAATATTAAGTGACTACAATATGAGTCTTATTGGAGTCTTACATGACGAGAAGCGTTCGATTGAATTGTTCATTGAAAAACATCAAAGGAATTTGGGCCGAGAAGCGTTCGATTGAATTGTTCATTGAAAAACATCAAAGGAATTTGGGCAAATCGTTGAATTATGACGGAATGTATTCCCGCATGTTGGAGGACCATCGTTGAATTATGACGGAATGTATTCCCGCATGTTGGAGGACCCTGATGTTGATTCAGTTGGCTTTTTAACCCCTCAACAAGATGAAGGTTGGACACAATCACAATATATGAGCGGTCCTTCGCTTGTGGGCACTTCGAATGCGGTCGATACTAACACGGGAGTTCAAGAAGATAATGCAAGTGTTGAATCTGAGAATGATGATGAAGAGGAGGGCTTACAAATTAATAGCATGACCTTGATAGATCGTGATGAAGGGGACAACCACCACATTGATGGGTGTTATGCTAATAATGAGTATGTTGTCTTAGAGGATCCGCCGCCCGATGAACTTCAAGGAGAAGAATGGATCGATAACTCCGTGATGGAAAGTGTTCCTATTGGCACTAATAGCGGTCATGATACACAGGGCGGGGACTTCTTATTCGTGAAGGGAGATCTATGTGAGAGCAAGGAGAAATTGATCCATGCGCTTCGCTCGTACGCCATTGCAAAAAATGTCAAGTTTAGGCCAACAAAAAATAATACTACAAGCTATAATGCGGTTTGTTTCTATCGCAAAGATGGCGATGATGAAGATATTGGTGGACACCACGACGGCAATGCGAAATGTCCGTGGAAGCTTAATTCACGCTCCGGTGTAAGAGTAGGCGGGCAATTCAAAATCACGGCATACAACGGACTCCACACTTGTAGCAATCCTCGATTAGAGATGAATAACAAGAATGCATCCTCTTCCTTCATATATCGATTGATTTTACCGCATCTGAGGGAGGATTTTGATCTAAGGCCGAAAGATATTCGTCTTCTAGTGCAAAAAGCCACCAACTTGGATGTATCATATCACAAGTGTTGGAATGCTAGGAGGAAGGCGATGATAAAAATATTCGGTGATTGGGATAAATCGTATGAGATCTTACCTCATTATCTTGAAGCACTCAAAAGAGAAAATCCAGGAACTGTCTACGAAGTATCTTCGGACCCCGTTCATGGCGGAGATCGGCGGTTCACCGGTGTATTTTGGGCATTTGGGCCATGTATTGAGGGGTTTCGATATTGTCATCCTCTTCTTAGCATTGATGGCACCCACTTATACGGCAAGTACAAAGGCGTTTTGCTTGTTGCCACCAGAGTTGATGCGGATGGCGGTTTGTTTCCTTTGGCGTTTGCAGTGGTTGATATTAAAAACACAGAGAATTGGGCGTGGTTTTTTGCATGCATTAGATATCATATCCCTAGTGTGGGTGCGCGGCCGATTACATTCATATCTGATAGGATGAAAGGAATTCTAAGAGCACTCCAACGTCATTTCCCGTCACCACATGCACATCGTTATTGCTTGCGACATATTAGGGACAACTTCAAGAAGAAATTTGGAAATGGTCAGGTTCAAGATCTTCTTTGGCAAGCCAGCTGTGCAACAGAAAAATTAGTTTATGACCAAATACGAGAGAGGATTAAGTTTATCTCCCGAGCTGCACATGATTGGATCGAAACTAGTTTGGGACCACACAATGTTGATAAGTGGGCTTTATGTGAAGATGGCGGGAGACGGTTCTGTATGATGACTACGAACGCTTCAGAGAGTTTCAATGGCATGCTCAGGGGAGCACGCGGTATGCCAATACAGTCACTAGTTGCTAAAACATTCTACAGACTTAATAACTTCTTTCTACACTGTCGCGAACTTGGTGAAAATATCCGCTCGGAGCTCACACCGAAAAATGATAAAATGTTAGCGGCTTGGATTGTACAAGCTCGATCCTTTCATGCCGTAAGATACAATTTTAATGAATGGGAAGTCATTGAGGGAATATCACATAGAGAAAAT